CAATGGCCAGCTTATTTTATTGCCTCCATTGTCTCCTTGGTTAATGTCACTTTATGTGTTCCACGATGTCATGTTTCTGTACAATGCAATTAGAAAAGAACATGAAAAATCAAGTACTTGGAACACGTGTTACTGAGCTCAAACATCAAATAAACCAACTAAATCTCAATGACCTAAGGGGAATAGGAAACGGATGATGAGCTCCCAATAATTAAATAAAAATTACTCTAGATTATCAAAAGTCTAGAAACTAACAAGCGTTTGTTTAAAGTCTTGAGCTTGACTTCTGTTGTTTTTGGCCTCTTCATGGTACATTTTCAAACACAATAGCACTTATTCGGTTCATCATTGACTCCCCACATAATCAGGTTTTCATTATTGTTCCTACCAACAATTCGACCTTTATTTAGCCTGTTCTTACAGCTCTCCAAGTGGTCTATTGGTTGGCAATCCTCAAAGTAAAAAGGTTGCTTGGGTGGATTTTCATAGTGAAGTTCTGCTACTTATCCTTGACTATCAGGACTATTGCATTTTTATCAAAATCTAGTAAGGCCTAACTTGTTGACAATAATGGCATTCCCAGGATTATTGGCATCCAATATACCTCTCCAATGCCCAGAATGATGAAGTCAACTAGAAAAATGAAATTCCTTGCCTTGATAAAGCATGTCTTAGACTATTTTGTAAGGGTGTTTCAATGATTTGTTTGCCAGTTGAAGGATGATAGAAGCTGCCTTGAGATCTTCCAATCCCAATTTCTTATAAGGATACAAAGAAATTAAGTTAATACTTGCTCCTAAATCAATTAAATAATTAATAACTTATAGGTTTCCTATGGAACAAGGTTGATTGAAACTCTTCGGATCTTTAAGTTTGGAAGGGAACCTGTGCTTCATTCTTTAGATAGTGCTATCATTTCATGCTCGGACAGCTTCCTTTTTGCAGTCAACATTTCCTTCGAAACTTGGTTTGTAGTTTAGGATTTGAAGGATAGCATTGATAAATGGGATGTTGACATGCAACTTTTAGAGAACCTACAGGAATTTTATAAATTGCTTTTCCAACTTGGTATTTTGCAACCTTTGAAGAGAAGGGATTAGAGGTGTAAGTGAAGTGTCAAGAACTATTGTCTTAAGCTGCGGGGCTGTCCGAGACTAATTGCTGATCCTTTTGTTGCATCTTCGGACTGCTTCACCTGTTCCTTGCCATTAGTAGATATTTGACTATTCTCTGTCTCCATTCTCTTTGTAGTGATTTCTGACAACTGAACACCACATCGAGTAGTGATGACTTGAATCTGCTATACTCTTTGCTTCCTTCACTGTCTCTGAGGAAATGGAATGGGTAACACAAAACCTTGATTGGGATGGTGATAATGAATGATGGTGGCTCTTTGATCTCAGAATTCATTGCCTCAATTGCTTGTACCTGCTCTCGTGGATTCTTTTCTGTGTCACTAGTCAAGATACCATGTGATTTGTTGGTTAATGCAACTGCTATCTGTCCCACCTAATTTTCTAAGTTGTGCATAGAGGCTTGCTAATTCTACATTGTTGTCTCATCTTGGTAAAGTACTTGACAAGTAGATTTTCTAAGGATTGTCTATTTTCTTGTTGTTGAATCACAAGTGGATTGCTTTTCATCTAATTTACTTGATCCAAATTATCCAACCACACGTAATTCGTATGCTTGTTAAAACCTAGATGGTAGTTGTGTAGGTAAGATCTATTTTGCCTCCGATAGTTCTGAGCATAACTGACCTCTACTGCAGACCCATTTAAGTGGAAGCCAAATGACAGATTGTAGTAATGTGATCTGTCCCACTATCTATGTAAACCAGAGTTAGATTCTGTACTATGTACACAGATTAAGTTAAAATATCAAGCTTCTTCGTTATTGCTTCTATTTGTGTTGCTAATGTTGTCGCTGAGTCTACAATATACATACCAGCTGCCTTCCTCAAAGCTTTCCCATCTATTGGCCAGCTTGCCTGATTCTCAGCAATCCTTTCAAATAGTTTATGTGCATTATCTACCTCGATAGTCAAAATTGATCTGCCCGCAGAAGCATCTATAATATTATGAAATTCAGAGCTCTATCCATTGTAAAAGAGATATATTTGCATCAGTTTAGGAAAGTCAAGAATTGGACACTTCCTAAATGCGCTATTGAATCTATCCCATGCTTTTGGATATATCTCAAAGTGCCTATGTCCGAAAATATATATTTTGTTTCTGATTCGATGGACTCGAAATGGCTGGAAGAATTTCGTTGTAAATTTTTGTGTCATGTCATTCGAAAATACTATGCTCCCGGAAGGTAGTGTTACATCCATACTTTTGCCTTCTTCAAGGTGTGAGGGAATAGATGCATCCTAAATGCATCTTGTGACATTCCATCGCGGCAGATGATTTCATAACACATGAGAAAAGCCTATATGTGTTCATGTGGATTCTTCATGTCTTTCCCACGAAGATGATGTCTTAATGATTCCGAACAGATTTATGATATTTTGTAAGATGTGGAAGTGGCTTGTCCTAATAACGGGTAGATAATTACTGACTGTGCTAGGGCAAGTATAGGATTCACATAACCCCATTAATATAGGTTGATCTGGAGGTGGTTGTTGAATTGGAAGTGTTGCTTCCTAAAATGCATCCTAAATGTGATTCCAATTCTCAGCCATTACACTTGCTCTTCTTTATTCTCTTCTACGATTCTTGGAGGTCTTTTCAAATGAAGATCTCTAAAGAGGATCTCGACTTCATTAGGATCTTGCATAAACTGGTGAAAACTGCGAAGAGCAAAACAAGAAGAGATCAGGTATTTCAATCAAAGCCTGAAAAGAACAAAAGGAAAAAAATAGAAAAAAATCGAACTTAATATATAAAATACTAAATTAAAATTAAATCCGTTATCGACCAACAATGATGTAAAAAAACTTGTTCGCGTTAAAACCCATAAGCGTACGGGATCAATGACAAGTAATAGAAATCAGTAAGTTTTGAGCTTTTCTTTTCCACGAGGAATAATGCTTAATATCTAGTTCCATAATTTTTATAAAATTCGAAATGGAATGACGTCAAAAGAGATTATTTGTATGTTTTCTACAATAATCCTAAACTAAGAAAGCAAATAAAGTAATTATCTAATATGTTAATATTTATTTTGTTGAATCTCCATATTGTCATTTAATTCAATTCTTAATTCGTAATCTAGTAAATTCGTATATTTAAGATAATCGATAATCTACTTTTATTCAATAATCGTTTCCAAGATATATTAAATCTATGTTTAACACGACTCTATCCTATTTCTAGTTCTAAATAATATGAAAAACATGCATTGATTCGGATTTACCACAAATGATTGTACATGTCATGGATATTATTCTTAATACCTATTGCCCATGTGTTGATTTTGCCGTTTTCTAAATTTATTGTGAGAATACCTACACTACAAAAAGCAACTTAATGTTTAATTGGTGATCAGGCAATCAAATAACTCAATAGGAATGCAAAACCAATCAAGAATTACTAAACTAATCTTCTTGAATTAAAATAAATAACCAATAGGGTTCATCATTTATCCAATACAATGAAAAACTTAGCAGACCATCCTAGTTATTAAATTATACAAGAAATAATGAAAAGACATCACTCGGATTGATGAACTATCTCCACCTCCTTGAATGAAATCTTGATTTTGGACGAATAATCTTCAAGAATTTTGTACAATTCCCTTGATGATTTATCCTCATTTTTCGCCTCCAAAATATGTTGAATCTATAAGCTTTTAGGTTTAAGAAGGTCTTCTACATTTTGGACGGATTATGGTATTTAAAGGATGCCCAAAAGATTGTTACTGAAGTAGAGTTTCAATTGAAAAATGAAACAAAATATCTCTTCGGAAAAGTACCATGCAATCATATAGAACAAATAAAAGCAGCAGCAAAAAATAAATCATAGCTGGTCCAGGGAGCTTTGGAGGCATAGATGCAGTTGCATCTAATTAAATCTATGTGACCTCATAGGTATAATTTTTCCCCACCAGACCGTGTTTAGTATTTTCGTTTTATCTTTTTATCCTGATATCCTATTAAAATGATTCAAAGTGTGTTGAAAAGATAATGCAAATGGCTACAATTCTTCCAATGATATCATTTTTCTAATTCGAACGTTTGCTATCCAAAGATGGATTTCAAACTGAAACTGAAAATTTGAAACATTACTTTTTCTCCTAAAGGTTGATATATGATAATATCTTGACCATATTTCACCCTCTTTGACTGCTTTTCTCATCCAATTGACCCTTAACACTCTCGAATTTTCATCGTAAGGGTTGACACAACTTTTGAATATTTACACTTTAGTCCCTAAACTTTGAATTTGCTTCATTTCAGCCTTTTCTCTTGAAATCTTCTTTGTTTATCTTTCAATTGCGCCCATTTAAATCATTGTCATTTTCAATCTTCATTTCATCGTCCTTCTCATCTCTGGATTGTTTGCAATTTAGGCCCCAAATTTTGAATTCACCCTTTTTTCACTATTTTGCATTTTTTTTTTCCAATTCCTTATAAAACATTGAGTTTTACCTATAAAATATAATATATAACACAAGTTAGGTCGTATTTTATTCAAAGAACTGTAAAATGTCATCTTTTAGGACCTAGAATATGTGTAAAAACTACACTTATCAGTTGGCATCTATGAAATTAATAATATCCACATATTTTATTTATGAAATCAGTTAATCTTATTCATTATAATCTCATTTTAATTTTGCCTAATCAAAACAAAACTGATTTTGACTCACTTAAAGTGTACTGGGTATCCAAGGCTTTGCCACCTACACAAGAAGAATCCAGCCCAAATCCCAATTCGTAATTATTGACCAGATTTAGGTGATAATTTTATGTATTTAATTATTGAGATATTATCAAAATATGTGCAATTCCCACCCTACTGGACCACCTCTTGTTTTGTTTTCTTCTCCTTTAAATACCAAACCAAGCGAGCTTTTTGTATATCAGCAGAAGAAGTCGAATACAACACGATTATTGTTGTTATTGTTTCCAAGTCTTGGGTTTTCTCGCTGTGAATTTCGATTCCAGTTTTAGAGCTTGTGGGTTTCATTTTTCTTGTTATTTATTAAGAAGAAAGAAGAGTTAAAGATGAGTGGAGAGAGTGTGACCCTTGACCTTCTTCAGAGAAAAATGGATCAGTTTGCAAAGGAAAGAGACTGGGAGAAGTTTCACAGCCCTAGAAACCTTCTTTTGGCTATGGTAACATTTTTCTGTTTATAAATAAAAACCTTCTTTTGGCTATGGTAACATTTTTCTGTTTATAGATAAATTTATTTTTTCTTTCATGTTCATTTAAATAATGCATACAATTTTTTGCAGGTTGGAGAAGTAGGTGAACTTTCAGAGATATTTCAGTGGAAAGGCGAGGTTCCTAAAGGACTGCCAGATTGGAAAGAAGAAGAAAAAGTACACCTGGGTGAAGAACTTTCTGACGTATTGCTTTACCTGATTAGGCTCTCTGATATTTGTGGAATTGATCTCGGAAAAGCTGCCCTTCGTAAAATTGAACTCAATGCACTCAAATATCCAGTCAAAGGGTGTTCAAACAATGTTACCAACACTAGCACTTCAGATTGACCTATGAAGTTCTCAGACTATACAGTGTTTGGTTCATACTCAAAAGGAAAAGTAGTTAATATCTTATTTATTATGCTTTATAATTGCATTGATAAGTTTTCTATATTAGTCGTGTCGGTGGTGGATTCTGAGAAGTACTTGAATAGTATTCGTTTTACTTTTGGTCTTGGTCTCAAGTAGTTGGGTTGAAAACATTGACATTTCCTAGTATGGTCGTTGTTGGTTTAGCATTAATTTCTCTGAGATTTTTTTTCACTATTTTGGGGCATGAAATGAATCCTTTTGGCATGTGTATGCATTTCCTTTTGCTCTCGTCTCAACAAATTTATTTCATGAAATATTGAATGAATTATTAGTATTTGCTGGCTAGACTGACCATCACTTCAATTCCAGTCAGCTGCGGAAAAGTCGTGTAGTTACAGGTGTTAAAGTTATCAAGCCGATCGGATTGGCTCGACTGGCCACCACACAAGCCTGTTCGCTTCAAAAAGGTTGGGTTTGGTTCGATATATAAGCTCAACCCATGGTGGGGCAAGTGGAACCAGCTCTCAAGTTACTCATGGCTCGATAATTTTTTCATTTCTTTATGTAGAAATTTGCACTTTCACTCCTCGAAAAATAATGAGAACATAAATTTATATGAAAAATCAAATGCAAAAAAAATAAAATAAAATTATAGTTGTAAAAACGAAAGCCAATGACGGTTTGCATGAATTTTTGGCTTCTTGACTCGCATCCACGGCTCCCACCCCTATACGTAGTAGGTTAAAGAATCAAGAGTGATAGGTCAACCCTCTTCCACTAGAATAAGAGATTGACAATCACAATGGGCCATCAATGTAGATTTAACGATTTTAAATAGATGAAGGAAGCTGAAATTTTATTTAAGAATCAGTCGCCAAGACTACATTTATTGGTTGTTGGTTTTAGAGAGAAATATTAATCATTTGTGACCACTGCTATTGATGGAAAGACAATGATAAACATTGGTTTGAGCAAGACTGACAGTCAATTCTTGTCGTTGATGGTGAACTGGTGCCCAAAGTGGCGGTTCGACGTTATTGATTGGCGCTATGAGCTTGGGATCGATGGTCAACTATATTTTATTGTGTTGCATCGCTGACTACAATGAACTGTCGACAATGGGGGATATATGGTATGATTTGTAATATCGATCATGCAATGTTGGTTACTTTGGTCCAAGCCAAAACAAAAGGTTGAAATTGTGAGGAAAAATATTCTTCGAAAATTTTCCTTCTTTCATCGACATTTTAGAATTCAAAGTTGCCTTTCTAGTTACTCTAGTCCAAGCATAAGTGACAATCACGTGGAGGCATGGATCAAAAGAAAAGTCTATGGTTGACCAAAGTCAACATGCCAAAGCCTACTCAATAGTCTAGTCTTTTATAGCGAGGCCCTCTATCCCGAACTCCCTCCCTTTGAAGGACCTCGGACAAAAGACAATTCCCAAGAAGATTATAGTATCTGACTAATGATTGATGTGACAAGTTGCAACTCAATTTTGTCAAATCCGGTCAGCGTAATTAATTATGTACACTGACACTTCAAGGAACTGCTCCTCTTCTCCCAAAAACTCAAGTGCGGCCTATAGCAAGTCGATAATGGGATAGCTACGATAGGACGTCCTAGAGCATCTTCCAAGCAGATGATGGGTTGCTTGAGTTTAGATTAAATTTCTTTAGCTGAGTCGTTGGTGATTATTCATTAATATGCAATCGTCTTTGATACTGTCGGTGTCTAAAAATTTTTGTCTTGCGTCTAGAGTATCTTCCACATTCATATATGGTTACTCCTTCCGACCAAGTCTATGGTCAAAACATGTTGGAATTTGCTTGCGTGGATGCAAATGGACCCGATATCTTTTATCCACATTACCATAATAGAAATTGAGGTCAACAGATTGGCATTGTCTAGGAAAAACCACACAATTAACCACGAGAAACTGTGAGAATAGCTGATTAGAAAATATATTTTGGGTGAGTTTTCTACCTTTGAAGAATAGAAGTTATTCTTGAAAAAAGAACAATTGAAAACCCCATAAGAAACCATTCGGAAAATGGTCAAGTTCTTCTTTGAAAAAAGAACATCGTTCACTAAGAACCCTCAAGAAAGTTGTCTTTGAAGAAGAGATGTCAATATGGGTTTCGAAAATGAAGAGTTGGCGCATCGGAGGGCTATGAAACACCCTGAAGAAGGAAAACCCCTACATGCCACTGCTACAACCTGCCGTCGATTTTACCACCAACATCGACGATGTGGATCCATGCTAGTTGCCAGGCTTACCAAGAATGTCGCTAACATTGCTGCAAAAAAGAAGGATACTACTCAATAGAATATTTCCATGCAAGTGCTGCTTACGAACATGTCGAGCCAAGGAGGATACCCAATTCCCCGCGTCCCTCCCTTTGTTCCATAGGGGAACTATTACCATGATGAGGAAGAAGTTCAAAGCCAAATGATTAATTACCAGCATTATGCCAAGGAAGAGGCTATGCCACTGACTGGCCCAACGAGGCTCCATTTACCTTTCCTCATATATCTATAAGTGTCTTTGATAGGTTGAGCCCTGGAAGGACTAGAAACAAGCATTCTTAGCTATCTCAAGAGCCTAGAAATAGGGAAGCTCAACCTCCGCTTGCACCTAGTAATAGGCAACAAAGATTGTCTCAGTTCAAGAGATCGAATGAAAATACCCAATGTAATATTCTTTAGAACCCTCTAAAAGCCCAAGACTAACTAACCAAGAGGGGGTGAGTTGGTTTTTAAAACATTTTAGAGAATTAATTCTAGATTTAAATTAATGTGATAGAAAATGAAACAATTAAACAAAGACGAATGCAAACAAGGTCAAGTAATAAGCGCAATATAAAAGCAACGAGTAAAGGAATAGAGAGGATTCAAATGATATAATTGTGGAGGTTCGATCCAAAGCAACGATCTACATCCTCCGTTACTAAGTTTTCTAGTACAAGCAAAGCCTTTTCATTATATTGATTGACTTATGGTACAATCCAACTCTTCACAATGCTTTCAATGACTTATAAAAAAGGGGCACCGATCCTTGTACCATTAAGCTTTCACGAGATCTCAATACGACCTTCAAGTTTAGAGAAATGATTTTACAATGAAATATATTTCTTAATAAAAGATAAAATGAGTAAGTACTAAGAAAAACTAACACTTCAATGAATATAAATAAATGATAGCTCAAGTGTTATATGAGAAAACTTTGATGCATAAGATGATTACAAAGTTCAATTCAATCGATCAAAGTTTTTCAATGAGTTCAATGAGAAGATGAAGAATAAATAAATGCAATGTTAGTTCAAAAATCTTCTCAAAATATCTCTCTTTTAATGAATGATGATAACAAATTAAGTACCAAAAGAGAGATGTAGAACTTTGATAAATATTATGATTTTACAAGTTTTATTCAATAAATCAAAGCATTGATATATAGAAATGGAAGAAATGATACAATGTAAGTTCAAAACTTTTCTTCAAAGCATATCTCTTATTGAAATAAGTTAAGTGAAAAAAAAGGGAGATCAAAAACCCTGATAATAATGATGATTAAGGAGTTTGAATCAATCAAAGTTTTTTATATGAAGAAACAAATAAAATTAATGCAAACTAAAGCTCAAAGAATTCTTAAAATAAAAATATCTCACTTTGATACTCTTGAATCTCTTATGAAGAATGAAAAGATTGAGGATATTTATAGAGTTCAAAACGTCAAAATAATTCTATAATTATGAATGACTCATCTGGTCGACCGCATCTTGTTCAAATGATCAATATAATTGTTTGTACAGTAAAAATTAGATGTTGGAAAGGTCAAATTTTGGATTTTTCCGGCCTAGGCCAGTTGGTCGTTCCCCTCAACCGGTTGACCGTCGATAGTTTTGGCCCCTTTTAACTCGATTTAAAGGTTTTGAAAGGCATGGACTTTTGGAAAGTACTTTTAACTAATTTTTCAAGTTAAAAATATATTTTTCAAGTCAAAATATCCTTTGAAAAGTCATTTTTATATTCGATGAAAATATTGCATTCAAATAACTTTTAATATACAGAAATTTTTTTTAATTCATAGAGGAATTTTGAGTTTAAACATTTATTGTCAAATATCTAAGTCTCAGTACCTTTACATTTTGTCTAAGAAATCAATCTTTGATCTTCATTCGAAGTTTGACTCTTAAATTCTTCGATCTTGACTTTCTTTTTGAGTCTAATTTGTGGTGATAGCTTTTGATCTTTGGACGATCATGATCAATTTTTCATAGCATGCTTTGAAAAACTATAATTACTTAAACTCAAGTTGTTAGCAAACAAGATTAGCTTGTTTGTTATAATGAAACCTCTAAGATTATAATCAACCACATGTCAACAATTTCCTCATTTTTTATTATGAAAAACAAGATGATATGTAAAGTAATATTGAACAATTAATATGGAATATAAATCTTAAATGTTGTATGTAATCCATATATACCCCTTATATTTTACAAACCAATATTTAATCACTTTCGATCATATGTATATCAAGGCAAGCATTTCGATCATATCCATCTATCATCACATCTCATCAAGCATATCATCTTATATATCTTCCCCCTTTTGTCGTAAATAATAATATATTCCCCTCCTCAACTAAGCACAAGATGTCAAATATATGCAACTTTGAATAAGATGATAATCATCACATTTATAATAAAATACTAATCAAAGCATGAGTGATGAAATGATAGAAGCATAATCGTTTGGGTAAAATTTTTATAAATTTCAACCAATTATGAACATAGAATCAATCACGCGAGAACATTTAGTACGAATTCAATTTAGCAGCATACTTCAAATTCATCGATAATTCCCATACCTCTTTGAATATATGAAAATCCATAAGTGTTATGTTTAGTGAGAATATCGGCCAATTGATTTTTTGTATTCATAAATTATAAAAGAATATCCCACTTTTGTGCATGATCTCTTAGAAAATGATGTCTAATCTCAATATGCTTCGTTCGAGAGTACAAAATGAGATTTTTGACAAGTTTATGGCACTAGTTTTATCACACATAATAGGTACATGATCAAATGATAAGTGGTAGTCACTAAGAGTTTGTTTCATCCACGGGACTCTTGCACAACAACTAGCTGATGAGATATATTCGACTTCGATGGTAGATAATGTAACAGAATTTTGTTTCTTACTAAATCATAACACGAGTGCAAAGCCT